TATTGCGATCATATCAGCATGCAACTACTAATCGACCACCCTGGGCATAAATACATACATAAGCACATGGATAAGACGTAATTGTGAGTTCGCGCATTATAAAACATTACAGCGTAAATCGATAAATTAGAAATTCCTCATGTTTTTTCTCTGCAAGTACATGTTGTAGAAATTTAGTTATTTTTTTCTTCCTATGCAGACAAAAATTACTTTACTGTAACTATAATTTAGCAGTCTGAATCAGACCCAGTCACAGGGCAAAAAAAAAAAATGGTTTGTCCAGCCAAACTGACTTAATTTTGTTTTTGGGGGGTGAAGTTGTAAACATATTTTACTTTACTAAGAAGGAACCTTAAACTATTTGCATTATGTTTGAAAAGTTTGCTTTTCTGTAAGTAATAACTTTGAAGGCCAAACAGTAAGTATTATTAGCATCAGGTCCCCACTTTACGAACCCCAATGCATGGGATGGGTGATGGTCAACAATAAACCAAAAAAATCGGTTCTATAGAACAAATTTAAATGTCGCTGCTTAATTTAAGCACCACAACAAATTGTCTTTGTTCATATGAAAATTTCAGGATGTTTATATTTGAACGAGCATAGTATGAATAAATATAGGGTCGTCATTAGAGAATGATGATATTAATACTATAATTAGTTGTGGTACTTAAAGTACTGTATCCACTGGGTAAACACAAACATTAAGACTGATGTATAAGTTACAATTTTCCTAGACTGATTGTTATCTGTATAGTAGATGATGCTATTTATAGTAGATGATGCTATTTAATTATAAATTTGTGTATTGTATGTAGCAACAGTCCGCGTAAAGTCGTTTTACATAATAATTTACAGCACATAAACGATGTGTAGGTATGTGCTCAAGGTTTATGTCATGTAATATTCATGATTAATAGTTTGATTACTACACAAATGCAATTTCTGTATTGGAACAGAATTTTTTTTTTTGTGTAAATAGAATAGCAGAAAATGATATTTAAGAAGTATAAACAATTTGCTTTTAATTTTCGAATAAAATATTTATTTTCATAATCGTTATATTTTTATTGGTGTTTTTGGTTGTTATCAGTGTACAGTGATTTATTTTAAACTGATTTTGATCTGAATTAAACATTAACCCTTGTCTTTTTTCATCGTAAAACAGAACATGGAAACAAGTTTTAATCCAATGACATGCAAAATTAAAAAGCAGAACCAGAATATTTCCGACAGAGCTAGAATCCAGGGTTAATGTGAAAAGTAAAGTATTGGATAACTTGATATCAGATCTGATTACTGTACAGCAGTTGACAACACAAATATGTCTTGCCTGATACTGTAATCTTCCGATGACATCGCCTTTACTTAGGGGAATCCCCCTATTCATAGAATATGAAGTCACTTGACATTTTGTGCCTTTTCTAAAGTACCATTTGCTTCCTGCAAGTCATTATTTTTAGAAATTATATGGACATAATGCTATTGCTAATGGATAATCATGGAAATAATAATGTGGACTTTAATTACTATGAATTTATAGTTTATTTCAGCATTTGGTTACAGGTATCCCTGGTATGCATTCAATTTCTAAACTTTTTTCAGTTTATTATAGCGTCAAAAAAAATTGTTTAATTTCTTGAATAATATTCATACCTGTAGTTTTTACTTAATGCCACTGTACATGTGGTTTAAGGTGTAAAAAATGCCCTTTCTCCCCAGTTTTTAAATATTCGAAAATCTGTATCTCATTCACCGTTCCCCAGTTTTTCGTTAGACAACTTTTTTCTGTCTTGGAAAAATCAGTGCTACAACATATCAAAATTGTTTTTTCCTCCAGAGCCTGACTTTAACAGCAGTAGAAGAATGAAATTTAGGCTAGAAATAGAAATGATGATGTTTATAAACGTTATGCGAGTATCACTTTGATCAGTTTTGCATAAATGTATGAAATATGCAAATTAGTTTTGAAATACTCTTTCATTGTCATTCATACTGAATACTATAATCAATCCTATTTACTATCTTGAAGAATGATAGTGTAACCAATAGCAACTACTGTGTAATAGGCTATATGATAATTTATCATTTTCTTTAAATGTCATATTATTTATTAACACAGTCTATACAAAGGAATATTGTTCCATGAAGTGCTAGAGTTCAATAATATATCATATTAATTACTAACAAATTCATTTTAATTACTGTATAGTGTTGTATAGATTACTTCAATTAATTTAAAATTATGAGTTAATTTAATCAGATAATTAATTAGAAATAATATTCAGAATAGAAAAGAAAAAAAAACAATAAAAATAGAAAAAATAATGAACAGAATAGAATAGGAAATGGAAAGAAATGAGTTATTGGGAAGAAAAAAGCGAATTAGAATGAATGCAAAGACAAAATTATTTTTTGTACAATAAACCAAATTAATAATAATTGTAAGTAAGGTAAATCATAAAAAAATTAACTTCCTTTTGATTTATTGCTTTCATGACAGTAAAAGAGTGCATAAATGATAAATGTCTCAACCCTATATGCATAAATTTACTATTGTTATTATATTCATTAGTACATTGTGGTATATTATACACTAATGCCTTGCTTAGTATGGAATTATCAATAAGCTTGAAAAGTGCATTAGTCTTACTTTTACTATACAGAACTGTTCTCATGGTCAGTGAACTTATGTAACCAAATCCTAGCCAATCAGGGACAGAAATCCTGGGATGTTTTCATTTTTAACAGAAAATTGATGATATCACATACTACAATATAATTTTAATAAAGATGAATGTGGGTTCTTAATATAATATGTAAGTTTGTAAAACAGCACCTTTAAACCAGATCATGTGACATATGTGTTGCTTACTAACTGCAGTTTTTATGCATGTCATCAATTTGGTAGTGATCAGGAGAGAAGACGCCATGTAACATTTTAATACTCGTCACCTTTTAAGTAAATGTCTAATAATTTTCAGTGGTGGAATGAAAGTCAATGTACTGTATTGTATGCAGCACTTCTATGCTCAGCATTTGTTGTTCTCAGTGGTGTAACAGCTAAACACTAGCTAAATCCAGGGGCCCCAGGCCTTTAAGCCCTGGGATATTTATCATCATTTTTGCCCCATATATTGGCTAAGTGTGGCCTTTTAAAGCACTAATATGCAATTAAAAACCTGAGAAAGATCAAGCATGGTGCATAGTGCATGGTTGAGGATAGGAAAATATCATTGGGAGTTGCAGTAATGACATCATGATTGACTATGACATGTTAGAAACCATGAAAACTTCAAAAACATGGTTTTCCCCACGATGTAGTAGGGCCTGCAGAAACAGTAGCCAGGGGGCCTCTGATGTCTCTGGTTATACCACTGGTTGTTTTTGTTGGATCCTTTATTAACAGGATGATTCCCACTTTGAAAGAAAAACAATTACAGATACAGACAGCCTTATTGAAAGAAAGGTCATGTTTATTAGCTTCTCTCGTTTACATATTTATGATTTTGGTAACTTAACAATGGTTGCTGGGTTTAGACAACTAGAATCCTTTATCAAGACTGCCTATTAAATGACTGTGTTCTGTTCTCAGTCTCAAGTTTTTATTGACAAATTTATATGTTATTTGCCTATCCATATGGGTATGATGTGACATGATCATGTCCATATGTGGATACTATATGACATCATCATTCCCATATATGGGCAAATTGCGCATATTGAATTTGTTGTCATTTTAATTTGTATAATAATTACAGGCTATATAAATATTTTATGTTTAAGTTATTTTCAATGAATGAAGTAAAGTGCATAAGACATGCATTAATGTTTAAGAATGGCTCTGTAATTTAGTTTAAGCTGTTAGAGCACTTTCAGTTAAGAAATTAGTAGTTGAGTATTAAATTTAAATGTTTATTGATAGGCCCTGTGGTAAGTTTTGATGTAAATTGTATAGTAAAGATTGATTATATCAAACCCCATTAGAAATAAGCCCTCCATCTTTATTGGTTTTCTTGGAAATCTTGTACAGTTTTAATTATATTACAACTACTTAATTTTCCTTTTCAAATTTTGGTGTAATGTTTATCATAGGTTTTTTGAATAAACTCAAATGAAATCAAATCCAGTGGAAATATAAAGTACAGTAGTTGCAGTTAATTGTATTAGAGTTCTAGTTAATTGTATTATTATATTTTTAATATATTAGAGTTATTTATAGGCATATTGCATTAATTATTGATTTTATATAATGCCCAAATAGAAATAAGTCTCCTAAGCTTTGTTTTGAAAATACACATGTAGAGTGAATTATTTTGATATTCATTTATTTTCCCTTCCAAATTGGGTTTGTCTGTTCAATGATTTTCCAAATAAACTTAAATTAAAATTAAATACAGTTAAAATTATAAAGTAGTTGTAGTTATATAATAATTTATAATAATTTCTAGATATTACATTTATTGATATTTACAGTATGCTATCAGAGTTGAATGCTATAAATTGTTATAAATTGATCAAAATGCTATATATTAGTATTACATTTCAATCATGTCAGAATCGGTCTCAATAGTCATCCACCCACAGAACCACCCACACTCAGTATTTCATTATAATGTTTAAAGCTATCTTGCCTCATCTAATAACTTGCATAAATTAAGCCAAAAATAGACATTTGCATTACCCATACTGAATTGACAGGCTAAAAGCTTGGCTTTGTCTTTGCTTTTTTGTTTACCAAGTATACTGTACTACCAACGTACTTGTATGTTTTTAAATAGATGTTTCAAGCTTTAATTAATAGGTTCCATACATTATCCATTGATTGAAACCTGTGGTTACCAATTTCTCGACCATTTCTGTTCCCAACTGAATAATATTTTTAATTGTCCGATCCACCTCAGGATTTTTTTTTTTGTAATTTTACTTTTCCATTATCCATCTCATATTACCATATTTTTATGTTAAACAAGTTTATTTTTATTTTTTATTTGATTCAGGTAACCGTTTAGATTGCTTTGGTGTAGCGTTTGCCGTGGTTGCAGCATGTCAGATACTCGGTTTTGACGATGTTCATTTGGCACTCTCTGAAGACCATGCATGGGTCATATTCGGTGAGGATGGTAAAGAAACAGCTGAAGTCACATGGCATGGTAAAGGCAATGAGGACAAGCGAGGGCAGCCTATTAATGCAGGTACCATATCACATGACTTGTTTCAGAGCATCACTGTTATGAGACAAAAAGGGGCTGGAGATTCTAGGTGACCCCCATGTTCTAGCCTATTTGCCCATTTTTTGCACATCTCTGCAAAGGTGTCTGGACCTTTCATCTGTAAACAAGTCCCACCCTTGGCTCCCTATTAATCCAAATTCCTGGATCCTCCGCTGGTCCTGAGCTCAATTTAAATTCCTGTACAAGGGCATCTCCTTAAGACTCATTAAAAAAATATTTGGTCTGCTAAACCTTAACAGTACCCGGCTACAGATTAGGTTCCTCAGTGCAAATGATAATGATATACATAATACATGATTAATAATTTATTGAGCAGACTATACACAATTTTATTGATTACTTAATGTTTAAATGATATTAATCTGTTATAAAAGCATTGTTAAGTTTGAAGTTATCTATTTAGTCCATTATTGTTGTTACTGCAATAAATTATTTGCATAATTTTTGTGAAGAAATGACTTCAATAGAAATATGGTTTGGTCTGCCTGACTGAGGAGTATTTGGACACATGCCAACACTTGTGATCGTAAGAACAGAATATCATTATTTGTGGAATATAGGATCCTTCTAGAAATCTTAAATCTCCATCATTACATCTGCAAATTGCATCACTCCTGGAAACATTTCAAAGTTGTATAATTCCTATTAGATAACCAGAATTGACAATGGTAATATAAAAAATCGTAATTGTATTAAATAGGAATGATAAAATTATTCTGTTTCATTTAACACTATAAAAATAAAATAATTATAATAATGGTATAATGATATTTCTAATATAAAATGTGTGCACCATTTGTGTGTATGACAGAATACTAATATTTTTGTTGGGTGTCTATATTGCCAAAAAGAAATTGAATTATACTTGAATTGACTTCTTAGATTTGCTGATGATTTTTGCTGGTAGATGAATTAACCTTTGAGTCATGTGATCCTATCACATTTTTATGAATAATCATAGAAATAGAAACAAATACATAATTAGGAAAGGCAAAGTCAGATTATTATACTACAAATTCCTCAGCAAAATACAAAGCTTTTTTGTTAGTATGGTAATGGTAATGGTGGGATATTTGTAGTGCGCCTTCCACAATAAAATTGTCTCAAGGCGCCGAAAGTATATATTCTATAATCACAAATTATCCAAAATACTATTGATTCAACTAAGAATAGGTATGTGGTACTCCTATGCACACACTGAAAAAAAGAAAATTTTGTTTCTATGTAATTTCTGTGAAATTTTTGAGGTCACTGTGTTCAGTAGCATACTTGGGTAACGACGAGCCCCAGTGCAAGGTAATTGACAGACCCTTTGATGTGAAGTAGGTCTGAGTGCAGTCGGTCCAAGTTAAGGCTTGGCTTTGAGACCCACAAACCCCTAGTTTGGTTCATGGGCAGATTCTAGGGGCGAAGCCATCACTATGCCTGAGATCGTTGGAACTCAGTTGATATCTTGAATTTTGTATCTTGTAATTGTTCTCACTGCAGGAGTTGCTGATCAAAGTTGGTTGTACTTAAATGGATACCCAGTGATTTGCACGAGAGCAATG